AATTTATTTACAAAATATATAGGTAACGTTTCCAATGAGTTGCAAATATTGATAGGAGAATCTACTAATTTTATGCTCCGGTGGGTGTAAAATGACTTAAAATGAAGTAAAAGAAAATACGAAATAAAAGTTAGTAAAATTAATAATTATGCAAATGAGAGACAAAAGTATGTTGGACAGAATGAAAATGTAAAAAAAAAAACAATTTATATTAAAATGAAATAAAATCTAAAAATGAAGCCAAGCATTGTCGACAATGTTTCGTCAAACGGGAGAAGTCATCGATAAACTTTTCTAACGATATATATCTTTTATGGATCTTTTACGGATAACTAACTAATCATTTTTATAAAAACGGTCCCCCTACAAAACTATGATCGAAAAAAAAGCGAAAAGTCTCTGTTCTACGTTGTCTGGAATTGTAATCTGTAACATCTTCCGAAATGTAAGGCAAACGACAGTTGTCGGACATGAAACCGTGAATGTGATCTTTTGCTAACGTTAGTTGCAATCATCAAGTGATTTAACCAAGTATTTGAATTAATTATGTAAAGAGGGTTTTTTTCTTCCTTTAAAGCGTTAATTTTAATGAACTTAGCGTGGAAGAGTAAATATTTCCAAAAGGTCACTGTCATGGATATCCACGATGCTTGGCACGTTTGTAGCTATACTGTATATGCCGCTGGACTTTTTCTAAGCGCCCCCAGCGTTTCATTTATGGTCACTGTTTATTTTAGAAAATTCTTTTTATGCATTTACTCATTTCCTTGTTATCTCCTTCGTCTCCTACAATTCAGCCATTGATACCCATTGTGCAGAGAAATGTCATGGTTTACCATATTGGTTCTCGAAATGATAAAATTAGTTTCCCACATTCCACTCAGGAAGCGCTTTCATTTGACACTGTAACAACTAAAGGAATTACTAAGGGAGCACATCTCGCTACGTCGCTTGTCACGCCCCTTGTCATTCACAATACGCAGAAAAATTCGACAGAACTATTTTGTGTTATCATTGGAATCAGACTGAAGTGACCGCACGGAACATCTATCGCGAATTTTAATGCAGACACGACATGCATCTTAGAAGAAAGCTTTTACTAACGAAAATTACATATTGAATTAATTCTTCTAAGGCGCAGCGCCGATCTCAGTGAACAATTATTTAATTTATTAAAAGTATGTCGAGTGATTGCACGACTTTGGACTTGTTTTTGCCAAAACTTGAACATATTTTTCTTATAATAAAATTTCAACTAAGTTAAAGCATACATATGAGCTCGGAAGACGACATAGTTCCTGTTGAGCGATAGTGGGCGTTTCAATCGCATTAGCTGTTGACAGTAAAAAGTGAAAGAAATCGTGTGAATATAGGAGAGTAGCTTAATATGCATGATTCCCTTCCAATCAAGGCAACGTTTTACGTTCCATTATTCCCGACTTGGCTCTATTTGGGCAAAATTTTCGGTTTTCGACCATGATTGTTTTCGCATATTGGTATCCTATCGCACGTTATCAGTACCTTCAAAATGGGCCGATTCCCTGTCGTTTCAGCAGGTGCTCACAGATGGAGATTCGGTCCCTTAAGTTTTCCGTTTTTATGGAAAAGCATATGATGCGCATCTCCCGAGCTTTCTTTTATATCCAATCTTATGCAAACGGCTCGACCAGAGAGTGTTTGAGAGAGCGTCTCTTTAATAACGCAATTGACCGAGCGAGCTGTTAATGTGGTGTTAATTTTCATCAAGCATCTCCGCTATAAATGCAGCCTGCGAGCCCTTTGCTTGCAAAAGTGATACTTTTTTCTCTTTTTTAAAAAACGCCAGCAATTAATAAAGACCGCATTAATATCTTTAATCGCTTACATTAATCAGCATAAATGACCATAAACCAACAATAATTGTGCAAACTTTATGTTCAGTTAATTTATGTATAATTTAGGGGAACTTTTTGATGTTTTAGAGCATAATGCAGTTAAAGTTAATCACTTTCTATACTCAGCGCCAGCACTCAGCTGCGAAAATGTTTACAATGCATAGAATTATGCATCAAATTTTCTATAAAATTTTGCATTAGAGACTTTGCTTCCCATCGAGTACACGGTAAAGGGCCGCAGAGATGCACACAATTTTCTTTTCATCTCTTTTCATTTTTTGCTCTCTCTCTCTCTCGTTCTCTCTCTTTTTTTTTTTTTTTGGTTAAAGTATTTGTTTTATCGAATCATATTGAATTACGACAACGGAGCGTTTGTTGTTTTGCACTTAAATGTCCGATTATTGTCAAGTTGGATCTTCAAAAGCGAAATTTCTTTAACTTAAGGTAAAACTAATTTAATTAAATGTTTTTTGCGACATTTCTTTTAATTACATGAAGTTTCTACACAACATAAATAAACTTCGGTGTAAACTGAGCGAATACAATCTCAATTAATGCAATAACCAATAGTTTGAGACGATTGTCTACACGATTGAAATACTCTTTATTCATTTATAGGAGTCTCCGGCCCGATGAACCAACCAGTCTTACGAAAATGTTTATCAATCTATCCCTTAATTATGCTGTACGTGTGACGATCGTAGAAAATAAAAGGCGGCAAGCTTTTAATTTATATAATTTAGTCAGTCATAGGAGATTTCCAGCTACAATGAATCTTTTCCCGTCAAATCGGAGTCCTACCGCAATGTGTACGGCCTGTCCTTGCCTACATCATCAATTTCAGATCTCACGAGTGTTCCGGGAAAATTCGTTTGCGAAACGCAAACCCTTAGCAAGTAACGATAGGTTTCTATTGATTGGCTTCTTGGTCCTGACCAGAATTGTCTTCTTCAAAACGAAACTGAACCATATTAAAAACATCAGAATGCTGCCGCTTGCTTAAAAGACGTTTCTCTCGAATAAGTTTCCAATCGCCGGCTTATGCACATTTCAACGAACATCTTCGCACATGACTAAACGGTTTACAGACAAGTTTTAAAGGAATCGTTCTTCACAAAAGACACTCATGTATGTGAGTGCCATCAAAAGCCATACACACCGTGTATGTATTCCCAATCAGGAGAAAGAAAAAAAAATTGTATTCGTGGGCCATCTGCTGTCCTTAGAAATTCGCAATAAATAATTTGTAGCTATTACGCTTATTGTAGGATAAATTGGAATTAATGAAGGTCTGCGACAAAATCATCTCACCTAACATATTACGAAGCTCATAAAGGCATCGGTTCATGTGAAATGGAGTTCGCTCCTGTTCTGTTGGTGCAAGAGCGGGCACTTGCTTTTGGCGATTAAGAACTAAAGCAGAATGTGGGAGCATTTGGTTTAGTTAAGCCAAAGTGTACCATAAAAATCGGGCATCACATAATTTTGCAATCAATCTCAAGATATCGCATTTATAATGCCTGGCCAAGCGTTAATGCATTCATTTATTGTTCAATCAGGTCGATATTGGAATGCCTTCCCACAGGCATTGACATGATCGATGAGTCCAAAAATGCCATTAGAAAGAAATCGTATGTAGCAACTACTAATTATAGCCCCGTTTCTTCTTAGATAATATCTCAAGTATATTCAGGTGTATATTTTTTGACCTTCACATGCATATTTTCAATAACCACTGTAACTATGTACAATGGCCTGTAGCTTTATAGTCGCAGCTAAACACTTGGAAAGAAAAAATAACGTATAAAAGAATTATATTTAGCTTTGCTGGAATCCGTTATATTCATCGCATTCATTTCACAAATGAAATCTTGTTTCCTTACAATATTGAATAGGCGTGGTCGATGTTTTCGTTTTTTATATTGCATAGAATACACATACAATATTCATTGTATGTGTTTGTTTGCTTTGCTGAAGACTAAAGAGATGTCCTCAGTTTTCTTTGACCGATTTTGCCAATTTTCAGTGCCAGCTTGTCTCCAATTTCCTCGTTAGATTATAAATCGATATTTTCATCTTTATGGCTGCGAAAATGTTAATTTCAGACATTCGTAGAGTTGATCAGACGGACAATGGGAATTCCTAAATTGTTTGAAAATTGAATATTGATCAAGAATGTGTACACTTTAAGTAATGCCAGAAGCCCTAGGTGGCGCAAGTGTTTTCACAAAATGCATATAACTTCAAGATCTGAATGGAGGAGGAAACAAAGTAATGGCTTAACAATGGGACTAAACTTGGAAGAGAAATGCGGCGGGCCCGCACAAGCTATCAAATATTTTGTAAGAAAATAAGAATTAACTGCATTTAAGCTTCGGTTAGTGTTCAGTTGTTAGTGTTCATTGTTTACCGATTCTCCCCAAAGTGTACACTGAGCAGTTTTCTCACTTTTTAGGCCGTAAGACCATAACTATTTTTATAATATACTTTACGATTCTTTCCGAACGTGTTAAGTATTGATCAATTTAAAGTCATTGTCTCAATATCGCTGAAGTTTGCTTAAAAAGAGAAAGACAATAAACTTAATTATGAAAAAAGGTGCATCGGTAAAGAGATTAAAATTTTCCCTAAGAAATATTGTAAATATATTTATATTCTAAGGATTGCTTTTATCTATGAGAGGATTACTTATAACGCAAAGTTTACTCGTACAGTAAAGACGTACGAATACATAGTAACCTAATCCATGGATTGTAATTGCGATCAGTAACATCGATCGATATAAACTATCGTAATTCGATATTAAGAATATCATCTGACATATATCAAAAATATAATTTCCAAATTAAAATATTTGAACGACTATCTTAGGCTCTTATCATAACCTTCGCAATGTTAAACACTAAAATGTGATAAAAAAAAATATATGTTTTTAAGATTTTAAACTATTACTACTATTACCACCACACTATCTGTATATTTTTAGATTTAGGCTATATTTGCTTTCGTTAAATAGCTTTTATCACTATTCTTATTATGTTTACATATAATTTGCAAATGTCTCAAAGGAATTATTGCGGGAACAAATTAGTATAAATATGAAAAGAAATTCAAGCTAAAACATCAGTTGATTAACTTACCTCATCGACTAACAAGCGCAATATATCTAATCATGAAACAATTTGTTATCCTTTGTGCTGTTGTTGGTAAGATTCACAAAAAAAATCAATTATTTAAAACGCATAGGCGTTAATAATAAGTAAATTTAAATTTTTTGACAGCGGTTTCTATGCTTTATTTGGCACAAGCCGAGGAATCGGTAGCAATGGAGGAACGTGGATTCTTTGGTAAAAAAAATAGTGGTACATCCTATCAAGGCAGTGGCGGTGGATGCGTAAATAACGGATGTAATGGAAAATCTTGTGGAGGATATTCAAGGTCTAGAAGCTGTGGCGGATGCAGCTCTTGTTCGGGCGGATGCAACTCTTGTTCGGGCGGATATAATAGCGGATGTCGCGGCGGTGAACGAATCACTATTAAATCGATAAACAACAATACAAATGGAGATCCTGGAAATTCCAATGGAACTGGTATTCCAGGCCCACCAGGTCCCCCAGGTGCTCAAGGTGCTCAAGGTGCTCAAGGTGCTCAAGGTATTGCAGGTTTACCAGGTCCAGCAGGAAATAATGGAAATAATGGAAATGGAAATAATGGAAATGGAAATGGAGGCGCAGCCGGAGCATAAGCTAATGAAAGTGAAGCAAGTAATCAAAGATGAGTAGTGCGTCAAAATTGATGTCCTGGATATTGAGATGGTTGATATATAGAAATTCTAATAACTAACACCTTATGAAACCAGCAAACCATAAATTTAAGAAACTTTTTGTCAAATCTGATTATTTCCATCAATATTTGTTCATTGAAACTATCCATAATTTGTCCAATATTTCTTTAATCTGAATAAAGTATTACAAAGCATACGTTGTCTTCTTATTAAAAAAGTCTAATATTTTGCTCAGGGAGAATGACGAAATTCCTCCTTTATTCATCACGATATTGTCTTTGTAAGACCCGGCAATATGCATTTATATATTTCAATGGCATGGGACCAAGGCCCTTAGGAAACTATTGTTCTTGATTTTTTCTCTATATATAGTCTTTTTAATCGACAGTTTACTTAAATGCAATAACTTGCTTTCCTAAATTTTGTTTTCTACTTGAGCTATAATTTTCATTGTAATGAAAATCCATAAATAATATTGCTGAGAAAAACAATAACATTCCAAATAAGCAGAAAACATAACAAAATGTGTTTTATTTGCTTAGTGAAGCAATTACTTTCTTACAGAATTTCACGTACGAAGAACATATATTTTCGTACAATTTACGTGAAAATGTTCACTCAACGTTAAGCTAGAGAAACTAACAGTCGGTAAAGAGAGGGAAATGTGCGCATACAAATGCCATCCTGAAAGTACGCAATGAAAACTTTTTCCTCCTCTTTTCGCTTTTCCTCTACCGTTCGGATTGTTCTTCACTTGTTTAGTATGCACAAAAATGCTGCTGATTGACTTTCACGTTGTACACCAGCAGCAGCAGCAGCGGCAGCAGCAGCAGTAGTAACAACAATAATAACCATAACGACAACAATAAGGACAAGAACAACAATACCTTGGTGCATAGTAAACATTTTCCATTCTCTTCTAATTCCGTACAAGTTTTTCTGGCTGTTAACAAAAGTTAAACAATTTTGTTGGCATTTTACCGAAATTAAAATTTACTGCATTGTATTTGATTTGCTAACCGTGTTAAAGTTGAAAAAAAAAACAAAACAATACAAAACAAACAGCAAAAAAACGAAAAAAAATATCACAATTTTTTACTTTTAGTTGCTTTGTGATAAAGTAGCAAGAAGTGATGAAAAGTGCTTATTTTACATTAGAAAAATTGCGTTTACAAATTATGATAAATTGTCAAAAATTAAGCGGGGAAAAGACATTGAAACCCAAGTACATTTTCATTTTATTTAGTTAGATTCAAAGGAATTAAAACGCTCTTCTCTGACATGTAAAGTGATAGCAAAAAAAAAAAAATAATTATATAAATTACCGGACATATTGTTTATAGAGATAATGATTTTTATGATCGGTTTTTAATTTGGTAAAAAATAAGTGGAGGTACATCTCGCAAATCTTACAAAATGTTACCTCTTTTCTGGCAACGTCCTAATCGGATCTAATCGAATTTAATGCGGTCTCTATGGGTTATTAAAATTGTAAAATTTTTAATAATCTAAACTTCAATTATAAGGACGCGTTCAGTTCATTAAGGATTTTTAAGGATACAATTGCTTAAGCCAAAGGGACTCTCTTACGCCAATGGTTTGGTCGTTTCATTAGTTTGTTCGTGAACTTTATTAGATTTTTAACGAAAGGAAACTTCACAATTATTGCAACTGACAAACCCCACTGCAAAGTTACGGTCAATTCTATTTGAATCAAATGAGACGGATTGAACGTTTTCGTTCGCTTACAAGTTCAACAGTGTAACGAAGCAAAAGGTATTGAAAAATCGTTGATAATCATTATGAGTCATCCGATGCCTTAAAATTTTAGCAAACGCTAAGCGGATTTAACATATTTACTTAAGATACGAGATAATAGCGATAGAGTTTCTCTACTTGTCGTTTATTTGTCACAGTTTGGAAGTTGAGAGTAGGGTTTCTACGAATTTATCCTAAGGATAGGCAATAAATTTTTGCTGCCGTCTACCTTGAGTTGGTAACAATTTTTAGTAAATTATTCAACTTCAACTCAATTAAATGCATTAAACATTTACTCGACGCTTAGATGAAATATTAAGATTGTGAATATTTAAAATGTCTGCTTAAAAATGTGCATAAATAAATAGTATTTCGAAGCAACAATACACACAAGCACTTAATGTCAAAATTAACAATCCATTGTTTTAGAGAAAGAGACGGAAATATAAAGGAAACATCTTTTGGTATAGACATGCATTCACATAAGTTGTTTATACCGATTTTCATATTTTCTGCTCACAGGCACATAATAATGTTTGTGGCAAAACATTGAAATATGGCGGTAACTCCACCAAGCAGTTAGTCGTTAGACTGACTATACATGCAGTTATGTGCATATGAGCGTTTGTTTGCTACAAATAATTTACATTCTCTTGTTAGAGTTGTTATTTATATTGTTTTGTATACACAAGATTCGCTATTATATGCACCTTGCTCTTCTTCTACGAAGAATGTCAACCAAAGTCAAAGGCAGAAAATAGGAGAAAAGGGGGGAAAAAGCCGAGGAATTTATTAGATGAAAGCAGAGAAGCAAAGAAACTGTGGTATGGTGGCATCAAACTTTATGTTAGAATTGTATGCTTGTAATTTGTGACCTATGAGTTGCATTAAGTTGGCAATTTAATGGGTTTGCTAAGAAATTTCTATGACTTTTTTTGCTTTGCTTTTTTTTTCTCTTTTTTTGTTTTTTTATTTTTATTTTTTTTTTTTTTTTTCAACAGACACCAATTTATATATTTACCCTTGTGCGCGAGTATATACATGTCCTGCTGTCACTGTTGTTAAAGAATGTTAGTTGGCTGTCACCTTTTATGTAATTGTGTATATATGTGTGCCAAAATAGAATCTTATAAGAATTCTTTTGCTCTTGCTATTGAAAACATAATGCGACATTTTCTAATTGTCTCATAAATTGCAAGCAATCCGTAGTATGTTGCCTTTGCCAGTGAGTAAATAGTTTAAAAAAACAACAAACTATCAAAGTTGGTCTGAATTGTTTATAAATGGAAATTAATTTAATTCCCTTCTCTAACCATTTGTGTCATTGCACTTGCTAGCAATCTGTATAGCAATCTTCATTAAACACATCAATTAAAAATCAACTCTCTCCAATAAACGCAATGCAACAACGAATGAAGAAAGCTTGGTCTAATTTCTAGATATGAAATTTAAAAAAAGCTTTCATCACATATTCATTTCATTTAAAGACTAAAAATAAAAAAAAGCACAAGGCATTATTTTAAGATATCATGTTCACCATTATGACTTTAAATTTAAAGCTTGATCTAAACGTATATAACTATTTTTAGTTTTAAAACAAAAGCGTTAAATTTATTGTATGTTACAATATGTTTAAATGTAAGCTTTCACAAAACTTAGACGATCGATATACTGCTATTATATAGACTTCTAATGACTAAATTTGAAACACATCACATCAGTCAATAAGTCTGGCGTCTGACAGATGTCTTTGTTTGTTGGTTTAATATGGGTGCACTACCTTGTCGGCTTAACCCCACGGTGCCCTCCAGAGGGTTAGGCAATCCCTATA